GCAAAAAAAAAATCAAGAAGCCTAATCTAAAAATAGTCATTAAAATTTGCAACTACTTCTACCACCTTCAAATATTTGAGCTTCTCTGTTTATATTTCCTCTAACAATCACATTCAAGTCTCAATTACTACTTTCTATTTTATAAGATTCACAATAGATTACAATGACTTTTCATCATTTTAGAAAGATCAATCATAATACTTTGCGGTAGAGTTAGTATCCTGAGTACATAATATTAAAAATCAGTCAGGTAACAGACATTATTTGCTAAAAAAAAAAACAACAGATATAGGTGTAGCTATACATAAATAAAGTTTCCCTCGTAGCTCTCTTTCTTTGATGAGAATCAGACTTTAAAGAGTTCTACAGTACTTTGATATGCTACCTTTCGCATCATCTAAGCAGATGTAGCTGAAGACATTATAAATGACTGTTCTGTGAAGATGCTTGCACAAAATGGTGGTACAGTACCAAAAAAGTAAACATACAATCATTGTTTAGTTACGCATACTGGATCATGAGTAATAAGCATCCCTGCAAGTCAGACTCCAAAGGACGAACAGTGAAACCGGGAAAGCAGCTCCCACTAAAAGCACTGACTAGTGCAGAGATAGGATGGGTTTTCTTTAGTGCCTAACTCACGAAAATAAAGTGAAAGTGGCCTGTGTATTTAACAGGAATAAAAGCCAGTCTTGCACACAACTTCAAGCAACAGAGCACTTCCAGCTTTGACACGCAGAATGCAAGACAGCATAGATTCTACCACCAGAAAGTAAAACCAAAAAGTTCCTGTACAAGACTGTGCCACAGTAACAAAACACAGCTATGTAAATTACTGATATGCCTTCTATTTTTCCTTAACAGTTTGCCAGGAAAAGGTTCTTGAAATTGCTTTATAAATAATGCAATGAACATACAGCACATAGATGATGCCCAGTTTATGAAAACAGTATTATTGCACAAACCTAAGTCTACATATAATACACACACACTACACAGAGTGCTCTGGCACTGGTGCTACCCAAGGTTTTCATTACGTACTGGAGAATTAACAGTTTGAAATATACCCCAAATTCCTTATGCTTGTGGTTCTTTGCAAGTGCCTGAGAAAATGACTTTGTTAATGAGCTTTATTAAAACAGTATATAGTTCAGGTAACGTTATTTTGGATGCCCCGTCCCTGGAAGTGTTCAAGGCCAGCCTGGATGGGGCTTTGAGCAACCTGGTCTGGTGGGAGGTGTCCCTGCCCATGGCAGGGGTTGGAACCAGATGAGATTTAAGGTCCTTTCCAACCCAAAACATACTGTAGTTTTCAAAACACATGCTTCAAAAAGTCTTTTTTTTTTTAAATCAGAAACTTCTAATGTCAAGAGCTGCATATGACACTTTTTAGTTTCTGTAAAGCAGTATTTATGCAAGATAAATTAAAATCAGTTGTCATACAAAGTTTTACATACATACTTCTCTCTCTCCCCCTCCATGCATCCACCCATATACATGACCCACAGATATAGCCCAGGACAGTTATATTCTTTCTACATCTCTACTATAAACAGAAAATCCTATTCCTTCTTACACCTCCTTCCTGTCCAAAAAGAGCAACGAAAATACAGTCAGACTGTAAGAAAAACTGTCTAATCCACAACATCCAGAGGACTCTCGCCCTGAACAGCCCTCTATCTGTTCCTCCATTTCATTTGCAGGACTTGGAAGTCCTACAGGAATAAACTGGAAAGAAGATTGTTTTACTATTCCTTTACTATGGTGCTTCGTGTCATGAGGTGCAATTCTTTGTGGAAGTTCACATCTGAGAAACATATGGGACTACTTACAGGAATCAACACTTTTTATCTTCCCTTGACTACCTTTGACACATCACTGCATTAGTAGCATTAAATACCATCCTTCAACCTGTGCACTGACTACCAAGCCTGTTTTACTTGCTCGTATTCCCCCCCACCATGAAAAGATTCAAAGAAAGGACACAGTTGTGATCAAGATCCCATATAACCTCAAGTAACTAACTTAAAGACAAAGATTTTAGGCTTTTCTCCTTCGCATTAGTTATAATCGTACTTTTCAAAAATAGTACTGGCTTGTCAATACTGGCTTTTCCAGCTTTATCCTTCTGCATGTGTCCCAAAGACAGAAGAAGTCCATGCTTCCTGTGTGTCAATGCTGAACGCTCTGAGAAGATAAACTGTGTTGTGATAAGAACAGGATTGTGGCAAGGCAGGAGAGGTAGCTAGATAGTAGTTATTGGCAAGTTATCTTTCCTGCTTTTGTTGACTGCTGTATCTGTCTTCCAAATTGCAATCTTAGAGGCACTGCTGTTCTTAACTTTAAAAAAAGAGTAATACAGAGGAGCCTCATCTAAAGACTATATCCACATCAGGGACATGTAAAAATTTATGTTGTAAGATTTGAATAAAAGATCTTTAATGTTGTGAGAAATACCAATAAAGCAAACAAACAGTGTTCTGCTATTCAAGCTAAGTTAACTGCCTAAAAACAGATGGTGAGTTACCTAGCATGACTCAAATACATTGCTTGGCGTCGAACATCTTCTGAGTCAATTTCCACAGGATTTATTAGAGCAAGCTGGTCGATAGACCATCTAAATTTTCCTGGTGTCTAAAATAAAAAAAAAAAAAAAGAAATGGAAACTTAATGCTTGCTAGTGAAATATTATAAACATAAAACCACAGGACAAATACCTATAGAACAACATAGCCATAACTTGTAGATAATTTGTCAAAGCCAATCAAAAAAGTTTCTACTTAAATGACCTACTTCCAAAAGAAAACAACAACACAACAAAACCCCACCTCAATCAGATTTTTTCATCTTGGTAGTGGTATGAAAATGATTTGTGAGATTATATGAAGTGGAAGCCTATTGGTAACATTTACAAATCTAGTTGTCATTTTTCCCCCTCAATTTCTGAGGACAAATTTACTAAAGATCTAGAACATGGGATAAAACTGCTTCTGGATTGCCACAATGAAAAATGTGGTTCCCTGAAAACGCATTATCTAATGTTTAATCTAATCCAACATATCCAAATAATATAGCAACCTTCCTTTTATTCCACTTTTCCAAGGAGCCTCAGGAGTTGTAATACCATATGCAGACCACAAAGGCACACTTTGGGGGAATGCTGTGCATAGTTCACAACAAAATACAGTTCAAGAATAAAGCAACCTCCCTCCTTTATTTAATTAAACACTTACGTACAAAACACTGAGCAAATGATCTACCAAGTCTACCCTTTTAGCTTCACCAGCGCAGCCCTCTGCAAACCTTATTGAGGTAATTTCCAGTGAAAATCAGAATGCAATTTACAGCTGAAAAATGTGTTCCATACACATGTGCAATGCATGATATATATGCAAGCAGCTCATGGTAAAAGTAAAAATAACTGTTGCTTGCACACAGACTGCTTAGCACTTAAGTAGGATTTGGTTTTGTTCCACTTAATGTGGGACAAGAGCACCACTGCCATACTTATTTTTTAAAACTGTTCTTTATTCTTTTATTTTTCTTGTATTTACCAAGTATATGCTAACCTATTGGCACACCACATATTTAAAGTTTAAAATAATTGTTATTATCAATAAGGTACGAAGACTGAGCAACAATGTTAGTACTTTAAGAAGCACGCTGAAGTCATCAAAAGAACCACAGAAATGCCACCAAATTTCTTGGCTTAGTACTACACTAAAGTACACTAAAATAAAATGCAGTGTTCAAGCATTTTACAACATTAGTGCTATACGTAACATCTATATAGCTATCTAAAGACTAGATCTTACAGACGAAGATTTTGTTGACTTAAAGACTGAAGGACTGGAGACAATCTGCTCCTGAAGTGTATAATAATCGCTTGGACTTTCAAAAGGATTCAGGACCACGGCTCGTCCTGGAGTTTCAGGCGTGATCTGCATTTTAGCTTCTTTGGTATCACCCATGCCAATGAGCTGTGCCTAGAAAAGAGAGAGAAAAGGGAGAGGGGAAGGAAATTAGTATTCTGGTGTGTTTTTTTGGGGGGGTTGTCTTAATGATTTTAAGGAGCAATGGTTTAACATTAGGAGCCAAGAGAGTAGTAAAGATAGGTAACTTGGGCTTGGTGATACTGACTTTTTTTTATAAGATCATAAAGATTGGACAAGCCCTCCAAGCCCATCTTGTCCAACCATCACCCTACCACCAATGTCACCCACTAAGCCATGTCCCTAGGCACCAGGTCCAACCTTTCCTTGAACACCCCCAGGGACAGTGACTCCACCACCTCCCTGGGCAACCTGTTCCAATGCCTCACTGCTCTTTCTGAGAGGAAATTTCTACTAATTTCCAACCTAAACCTCTCCTGGTGCAACTTGAGGCCATTCCCTCTGGTCATATTGTTAGTTACCTGTGAGAAGAGGCTGACCCCCAGCTCCCCACACCTTCCTTCCAGGTAGCTGCAGAGAGCAATGAGGTCTCCCCGGATCCCCCTCTTCCCCAGGGGGCACAACCGCCCCGACCCCACACCGACCCACTCCCGCTCAGCATTGTTCCCTGAGGGGACAGCGCGCGAGCAACCCAAACACCGCTCCCGAAAGCCTCAAAAAGCAAAAGAAAAATTCAATTAAAAACCAAAGACGTTTAAAAAGCATCGCGGCAGCGCTGAAAGCGAGCGCCCCCCCCCCCCTCCTCCCCTCCCCTCACGTACCCCCCGGGCCCCCCCGAGCCGCGGGCGCTGAGCGCGGCCGTTGTGGCCGTTGGCGGGCGGTTGCCGGGCGCCCGCTGCCGCTCGCCCCAGCTCAAAGCGGCCGCGGCCGCGGCGCCGCCAGGCTCTTTAACTACCCCCGCCCCCTCCGCGGCGCTGCCCAATCAGAGCGCGCCGCCCCCGCGGCCGAGCCAATGGCGGCTCGACCTCCTGTCTCGAACGGGCCAATAGGCGGCGGGGGCCGAGGCACGAATTCGAACCGCGCTGCTGGGCGGGGCGGGGCCGGGCCGGGCCGGGCCGGGCCTGGGGGGGGGGGGGTGTCACGTGACGCGGGAGGGGAGGCTTCCGCTTCCGGGTGGGGCTCGCGCGGTCGCCATGGCGAGCAACGCCGCCAGCCTCAACGCCGTGAGGGAGACCATGGACGGTGAGGGGGCAAATAGCCCGACCGAGCCCTAATTAAACCCTAATTAAACCCGGGAGATCTTTATTAAGCTCTGGGTTCGGCTAATTTGCCTGTTATTAAGCTGTGGGTGTACCAGTTCCCTTCCTCAGGAGGGCGGCCTGGTGGTGAAGGGGCTGTGAGGAGAGCAGTGAGCGCTACAGATCCAGAATAGCCCAAAGTACAAATTAAAATGACTGCCCTGTGGCATAAAGGGTCCGGGAGAAGTGGCACTGAAAGCAGGGAGAAATATTTATGAATCTAGAGGCTTATAAATGCTCTTAAAATAAATAAACTAAACTAAATAAGCAAATTTAAAAAAAATAAAAAAAACATACTAAAATAAATAAACAAATAGCCTAAAGTAAATAAACAAACTCTCAGCAACGTGAGCAGGGTGAATAAAAATCAAGTTGTTGCCGTTCCTTGCCAGGCTAACTCTGGAGAATCAAAGCTAGCAGGCTCTGGAGGCGTGTTTTAACTGTGGATCTTAAAAACACCATGTGGAATGGATGCTAAAAGTTAAGGATGCTTAGAGGAGACAGATGTGACTTGGGGGGGAGGTGGGGAATCAGAGGGGACAAACTTAGTATGGACAAACAGCTTTTTTCTGTTGTGGAGGGAGAAGCTAAGGCAGCTTGGAGGGGACACTTGACACTTTGGTGGAAAAGCTGAGGTAACCAACAGGGCACAAAATGACATCTTTGGGGGGAAATGCAACAGAACTTTGAGGGCATAATGTGAGTTTTTCTGGAGGGGGGCTGGGGCAAATTATGTGGGTTTCAGGCTAAGTGGAAAGGTGCTGAGAAATCCCTTGAGGATAGTTAAATAAGAAGGCTTCCTATGGAAATGCTCTATTGAGGCTCATAATTTAACTCCTATGGCCAGATAACTTGTTGTTGTGAAAGTCAGAGGATTTCTTCCACAGCATCTGACTTTTTTCCCTGTGACTTGAGTGGAATTGACTGGATGTGTTAGGCCTTTAATTTCTTGGCCTGTGTAAATGTGACTGAGGCTGTGCTACAATATGCTTTTGTTACACTGAAGTGTACACAATACACAATGTACACAATACAAAATATACACAATATTTTCATGGCTGTCAAGAGGACAGGAGTTGCATGCCATGTTGGTTTTATAGGGTAAGAGTGACCTACTTTATTTTCTTCTAATTTGGGGGAGTAGCTAAAGCTGTATTGACATAGCCTCAGGTTGGAGATTACCGTGGCACCCAGAAATAAACTCTCAACAAGCTCTGCTGCTATATGTGTAATTAAAACTGTTTAAGGGTATTAAAGAAATGGGGCCTTCCAGGGAAGACTTGAAAGGGAAGAGGGGCATTTTTGTTACAACACAACAGACTGCAATCTCCTTCTCTAGAAGGTTTCATATGGGCATGTAATCCTGTAAGTCTTTTTTCATGTTATGTAAAATTCTAATAGTATTGCTTGTCCTTAGTCCACTATTAGTGTTGGATATAAAGCCAGGCTTAGCTATAAAATGAAAGGGCTAGAAAGCTCCTGGCATTCTCTGTCAAAGCTTCCAGTCCATTTAAACTTGTCTTCAAGTAAGTATTTGGAGTTCAAAACTGCATATTCTTATAGCCTACCTTTCACATAATTTGCAAGCAGTTTAATCATTGATTTTTTTCACTTTTTCCAGAACCCGTTATCCAGTGTTAAGTTTGCTGAATCAGAGATGCATGATACCTAAGTCAGTGAGGAGCTGTAGATTCTGACTTGCACTGGAAAGCAGACCACAAATACTGTTGAGGTTCATGCTGCACATGCTTTCCTTGACTGCCACCTCCACGGATTCTACAGTGAAAAATAAATTTTGATGAAAAACACTTTTGATTGCTGTAGGGTCTAAATTGATTTCATTTTTTCCTTTTACAGTTCTGTTTGAGATTTCAAGAATATTAAATACTGGTTTGGATATGGAGACCTTGTCTATTTGTGTGCGACTTTGTGAGCAGGGCATCAATCCAGAAGCATTATCTTCTGTTATTAAAGAACTGCGTAAAGCTACAGAAGCTCTAAAGGTATTTCTGTTAATTAAAAAGCACGTACCCTTAAAAGAATCAAATCTATGTTCAGTTTGCTATACTTCCATGTATAAATTCTACTTTGAAATAAAAAGCAGTCTTCTAATCTGGAGTTTTCAGCTGCCATTTGCCCCCTCATCTGCATCATGTTGTGATTATTTTGCTTTCTTCTTCAACCTGCATCAGCTTACTTAAGCAACTTCAGCTTCAACGTTCAGTGTTTGTAAACAGGTTCATGCAGCTGCTGGTGCTAATGTAGACTTCACACATTGCTCTAACCTCATCAACCCATGCTTTAAATGTCTCCAGGGACAAGCAAAGGGATTTCATAGGGGTGCATGTGGATATATGTGATGTTTTGTAATTTAGCTGTTCAGCTAATAGAGTAAATAACTAGAATTTAAAAAACTGACCTGCCTTTTTAAAGGGTTTTTGTTCTTTACTGCCTACCTAAGCATTATGGTTTCTTTTCCAGTGTAACTTATTTCTTTGGGGTTGGAGGGAAAGTCCATTTCTAGCCTATCTATTTCTGTTCTGATCTGTACAAAACTCAATTTTTAGATTTTGACTGTATGTATGCTAGTCAGGGCTATTTTTCCACCCTTGAGTTTTTGACTATCATAGAACCTCATCCCATTGGCCTCTGCCCATCGACCCATCCTGTCCAGGTCCCTCTGCAGGGCCTTCCTACCCTCCAGCAGATAAATGCTTCCCCCCAGCTTGGTGTCGTCTGCAAACTTACTGAGGGTGCACTCAGTTCCCTCATCCAAATCATCAATAAAGGTGTTAAAGAGGATTGGCCCCAACACCGACTCCTGGGGAACACCACTGGTGACCAGTCACCAGCTGGATTTCACTCCAGTCACCACCACTCTCTGGGCACAGCCGTCCAGCCAGTTTTTAACCCAGCAAAGGGTGTACCTGCCCAAGCCATGGGCTGCCAGCTTCTCCAGGAGAATACCGTGGGAGACCATGTCAAAGGCCTTGCTGAAGTCTCAGTAGACTACATCAACAGCCTTTCCCTTATCCACCAGGCGGGTCACCTGGTCACAGAAGGAGATGAGGTTGGTCAGGCAGGACTGGCCTTTCATGAACCCATGCTGGCAGGGCCTGATCCCCTGGCTGTCCCGCACACGCTGTGTGATTGCCTTCAAGATGACCTGTTCCATCACCTCTCCTGGCACCGCGGGGAACTTCAGGCTGATAGGCCTGTAGTTCCCTGGGTCCTCCTCACGACCCTTCTTATAGATGGGTGCCACATTGGCAAGTCTCCAGTTAGGACTGGAGATCGAGTTGGGACCTCTCCAGATGACCAAGACCACTGACAGATGATGGAAAGTGGCCCAGCAATCACATTCACCAACTCCCTTGGCACCCTCATATGGATCCCATCCAGTCCTGTTGAAAGACAGTCCAGGTGGAGCCGCAGGTCTCTAACTGTTTCCACCAGAGGTGTGGGGGGGTTCTTCTGCTCCTTGTCCCAGACTCCAGGCCAGGAGGATGAGTACCCCAAGGACAGGTTAGTAAAAACAGATGCAAAGACAGATGTTTGGTCCTCTTGCTGTTAATATATTTATAAAAAATGTTTTTTTTTTATCCTTAACCGTAGTGGCCAGGTTGAGTTCATGCTAGGCTTTGGCCTTCCTGATTATTTCTCTGGATATGCTGGTAACTTCCTCGTACTCTCCTCGAGTTTCCTGTCCCTTCTTCCACAGACAAAACTCTTTGTCTCCCAGATACACAGTAGAAGTTCCCTGTTCAGCCATGCTGGTCATGCTTTTGTTGCTGTCCTTTGCCTGTTTGTCCCATAACTGGCTTAAAATTTACTAATGCCTGCCTGCCATCAGTACTGCACCTCGTTGTGTGGGTTAAGTTGCGCAGTTATGAAGGCTTAGGAAATGGATCAAATATTTGATTAAATATTTGATCAAATAATTGGCAATGTGATTTAGGCAGTTGCGATGTGTCATTTTTAATAAATTTTTTGTAAATAATTTCACTGAGTGAGCAATAATTAGAGATTTTCCTTTGGGGTTCACTACGCAAAGTTTCATGCATTTTTGCACTTACTGAAAGCATTAGAGTAAAATGGTCAGGATACTATCTGCTCAGATAAAGATACATGATTTAACAAAACAAACAGAAATGGTGATGTTTATAAAGGCTAATGGCAGTTGAAAGCATTATTAAATATATATATATATTAAGCTATTCCTTAGAGAACAACATGACAGCTTATGAAGATTATAAATAGCTTATCTTTAGATTTGAAGTTTTCTACGTAGGTGTAAGGCTTTAACTTGCTTGGTATTTTCTTTTTACGACTTGTAATAAATGTTTTTTCTTTTTCTAGGCTGCTGAAAATATGACAGGCTGACATGGGAGAAGCTTTCTGCATGAGAAGAATTCAAAGTTGTAGGGGTAATAGATATGAAAATTGACTGCTGTTCAGACATAAAGTGAAATTATGGCTGTGAAGGTTTCAGAATATTTCTGTAATCTTCTTGAAAAGGATGACGTACAGAACAGCTTTGAGAAGTTTTTTTAAAATAAGATAGGCCCAACAATAATTTTTTTATTCTTTAATACTTGGTTATTTTTGTGAACCGTTTGTAAATACAGTGTAATCACACTTTAGCATCCAGTATTTTTAAACCATGCCAGGTACTGAACACTTGCTGAAATTGCTAGCATGTTCCAGTGGATATTTTGAGTATAGCTGGTTAATGCATCCTTTAGAAGTGCTAATGTATCCTGTTTTTACTCCTGTATTTGTATAAACCAATGCAGACACTTTGATCTGTGGTCAAGATAGGAATGAAGCCCCTCCTGGCTTGATTGTAACTAGAGTATCAGTGATAATTTAAGTGACTTCAGTCTCATTCCGAAAGAAATAAAGCACTTTTATAATGAAGCTAATTAATTGTCCTTTTAATTCATGTTGTTATAAGAAGTGTTTTTAACCTGAGTAAAAAAGGAACTTCGACTTATGCAGATATCTATGTAAATTTGAATTCTGTATGGCAGAGGGATATCTTACAGAGTTCAAATCCTATTTAGTTTACACTTGTTTGGAGTACTAGACCTGAAAATATTAAGCCTATGTTGTTACTTCCTACTCAAAGCATATATAGAAATTACCAGATCTGGTTGTGAGTCTTAATGCTCATTTTTTTGTAGGAATGTCTCTATATTCAGCACTAGGAATTTTCACTGATGCCAAAATGAGTCTTTATAGTGTATATACAGTGAACTGTGGAGCGTGTTAATCCAGTGAATGTCCTTGCATCCAGGAAATATACTTCGTAAGAAAACTGTTTCTGGTGTATTATTCCTCTGCTGCTGTTTAAGCTTTTGCAATTTTTCATCAGAACGATTTAAAGCTGTATAGTGTTGCTGGTGGAACCGTAGTGACCTGCATGGTTGATAGAGAGACTACACATAGAAATGACCCAGGAATCTTTAAGATAAACTTTATTTGTGCAGAGAAAACAAGGTCTTTCTATTTTGAGCTTACATCATACACATTCTAGCTAGGTCATAGCTCTACAAAAAGTGATCAAGCAGGCTAAAGACTTCACATGCCTGGCAGAGAATAGGAATATGCATTACATTAAGTTATTTACCATTATGTCCAGTTTCTCTGGTCAAAAAGTTATTCCTGTAGGATGCTCTGAAAACTTCTTGATAACCAAACTGTCAGGGATTTAAAGTAGTATCATCTGTCTCAGTCATAATGGATGTTCAAAATCCTTTGTAAATCAATGTTCTAACTTCAGAGTTAAAGCTTTTTTGAATACTGGGTATAATGTTTTTGAAAATGCTAAGTTATCCATAGTATGAAAAGATTAATAATGCAATTTATCCTACCAAACCTGAAAAGTCAGCAAAATGTCACGAAAGCATCAGGTCAGTTAAATTAATGATCAGCTATTTTAGCTAGACTCAGTGCTACCTGTCATAATCAGAAAAGACCAGGGGAGCATTTTTGCACTGTGAACAGGTTATCTTCTTTTTTAGCATTTAATATGTAATTGTCATAAGCCAAAGACATGTACTTTCTGTACAATTTTATTGAAAAATTCTGGCAATTCTTATTAAATTGTTCTTTATATTCAACGAGTACACAGTTACTGTGAGAAATTATGCTGGCCTTTATGTAAATATATATATCCTTAGGCAGTCTAAAAGTTGTGGCTCTTATGTATATCTAAATATGAGAATTCTCACTTGTGAAACTTAAACGCCAAAAATTTTTTTTGAACTGTAGCAAATGTGGCCAAAGTTACTGTGAAATTCTATTAGAGTGCATATGCATGCTAGTGCTTTTCCTGTTCTTGGATTACCAGATCTTTAGACAGTTCAGTAATTCTGGTGGCTTCCCTTGATACTGCTCTTTATCACTTTACCACTGGAAATACACAAATGTGGTTTTAACTTCTATTACACTTTGCATGATTTCCAGTGTTGGTTCTATGTCCCTGAAGTGCTTAAAACAGTTTGTAACTGTAATATGAGATCAACCTGTATGCAGTTCTGTCTGATAAGTTGTGGCTACCATTTTATCATTGATAAAATTACTGGTTTTATGCACTTATTTTCTCTGGGAGACAATTTCTCACATGGAATTATAGACGTGGAGAATGTTTTTGACATTCAAAAACTCAATTTGATGGATATAAACTAAAAATGCATTTATTTATTTATTTTTTAATTGTTACATGGATCTAAATGGTAACATTCAACTTAGATTTAACAGTAAGGAGTCAAACAGCTTGAACTCTTGAAAACAGAATAGCTATATTGGTTCCAACCACACGTTTTCCTAACACAATAGCCTCTCTTTTGTTGTCAAAAGCAGATGCTTGAGGAAGAGTAAGAACAATGCAAGCACATTTGGTTCTTTTCCTTCTGTATTCTAGCTTCTAAATGTCTTCTATTCCAGGCTTTCCTGAACATCATATGGTTTGTCTATTTAGTAATCCCTAATGCTGTTTTTTCCAGTATTTGTCCAGTTTCCCTTGGACTATATATGTTTCCTGACTAACAGCAGCCTTCATCATTCGATGTCCATGGCATAAAGAATCATCACTTCTTACTTCTTTTGAACCTGATTTTTACTAGCTTTGTTTAATGTTCCCTGCACAGTAAACCTTTAAGTGTAGTGGTTGTGAAAGTCATGATTTGGCAGGTGTAACATTTACATTTAAATTTCCTCATACTACTGTAACTAACACTGATACATGTTAAAATACCTTTTGGTTGCCCAAAGGTGTGGAATAGCTTCTGTGTTTGTCATCCTTTGAAACTTTTCTGTCTCATTATTTTTTTTGAAAAGAGAACCAGAACTGTACATAGCATTAGCTGTGTTAATACTGGCCTGTTTGTATACTCTTATATTCTTTATTTCCTTCCTAGTAATTCCTAAAACATTACTTTTTTAATATGAACTGAACACTGAGCTGTCTTTGTGAGTGGCAGTGATAGGCTCAAAGGCTCTTCTTTCATATGTGAAACTATGATTGTTTCTTTCCATGTATATATATTTTTTGTTTATCTATGCTGAACTGCATCTGCCGTTTTATTACCAAAGTGGTCTTAATATGTCTTTCTGCAGTTCCTCACAGTTTTCCTGCAGTCTCACTATCATTAGTGTCACATAATGCAGCTGTGAGAGCTTAAGCACAGTCATGAATCCAGTCCTGCAGAGAGCATACAATTCCAGATAACTGTTACGATCCTTGAAATTTGAATTTATATAATTACATTCTAGAAATTTAAATAAGAAAATAATTTCACAGGAGGTTGTAAATTACTACAACAAAAAGAATTATTCTGAAACCTCCATCTTAACATTAGGGAGTCCGAGTTTCTTAGGGCAACATGATTAACCAAAAAGTCTGTTAACAATAATAAATAAAAAAATAAATGCACTGGATGATGATCAGGCAAAGACAATTGATTTAATGGAACTGTATCCATGAAAAGTACACATACATTTGCCAGCTTGCTTTCCTTCACACCTGCTGGTCTTGGTTGAACAAATTCTGGTTATTCCTAGACTTGCTTTCTTAGCAGGCTGAGTCCTTCTACCCAACACCTTTCACCTTCAAACACTTGTGTACTTTCATCTCAGACTAAAGCTTGCTTATAGTTTTATGATATAGTACTCCCCCCTCACCACCACCACCAGCCCTTGTATACCTCATATTTGCATATACCTTAAAATAAAAAGCACAGAAATGACAGTGCCCTTAAGACTCAGCAGTGACCCATGACAAAACGCCATGTATTGCAGTAGTAGACAACCTGCTTTTGAGAGAGCTAACACTGAACAAGGGGGTTTATATATTACTATGCATTACCTGAGCTAGGGGCTTAGGTAAGGCATAGTAATATACAGCCAAAGGAGTCAACTGATTACGCCTTTGAATCACAAATGATACTTTTAATCTAAGTTTGGAACACTGAGGATTCCAGAGATGAAAGGTGTGCTAATGTAATTTTGATGCTTAAAAGAGCAGGAGTGATAACAGAAGTGAAGACCCGCCACCTAGCATCAGCGATAGCAAAGGGTGAATCTGTGAACTTGGGATTTTATCAGCAAGGAATGAAAGACCAAAAAAAAAAGTAGTGAGTTCTATTTCAACACTGTTTCATAGAAATGTAGGTGGGCTCTTTTATTACTTACAGGTTTATGTGTGAGATGTAGAAGCAGTATGCTTAAATTGTGCAGGACAATTTCACTTAAAACACACTGTTGACATCATTCAATAAAAACTGAAATGTACTGGGTTGTTATCTGTTTAGTTGTCTAGTTAACTCGGGTGTAGAAATGTAAAAAAATCGTAGTTCTTGAAAAATGGTAAATTAAATAAACTGCTTTACTGAAAGGGTTTTGTAAAGTGTTGCCTAGATATACGAAGAGTTCCTTCTAAATACAGAAAATGGATTTATCGTACAGACAGAATGAAAACACAAAACCATGGTGCTGTCTGATTACTGCTTCCAGGCTCCACGTTTATACATCCAGAAACTTATGGTGATACAAGAAGCATTTATATAAAAGCCATGACACTGTTTCAGGACTGGAAAAACTGACCTTATGAGGTCTTGCAAAATTCAGTCTATGCAGTTCCTTAAGGAAAACTTGAGACATTATCACCATGTGTATGTCCTTGAGCACGGAAAGAAATCCAATGGCTTTTTTTTTTTTAATCCAACAAATAGAACACAGATGATATTAAATAAATCATACCTTAAAAATAAGGTACAGCTTTCCAGAAACTAAGGTAATGCAACATTGACTCAGCATACCAGGGAAATGGCAAGCTGATTACTCTGATATTGTTAAAATGAAATCAAGGGTACTGCTAAAAGACATGATTTAGTCTAGATTTTGGGGAAAAGTCTCCAATATTTTTTGCAGGATGTCAGGCAAATTGGTTATAGCAGTTCCTTCTGCCTTCACGGTCCATGAAGGGCAGTATAAAAAAGCTCTAAGAAAAAGTAATGTGATGATTATTAGGAATATTCAGGATACATATCAGTGATGTTTCTGTCAGTAAGATAAATGGAAGCCTAGTTTCTAAGACAGTTAAATGTTACCTGATATAAAAAAAAAAAAACACCACACCTGATATTAATGTTGCTGGCAATCTAGAATATGTTGAGTTTGAGCACTTCTATTATCACTGTGTTCCTGTTTTCTCACCTCTGATTCTTTATGTGTAAGGAGACGCCAGCTTATGAAAATGGATCTCTGAAAACTGTTGGGAGAGATCAATGACATCATTACATGGGTGAATGTGAATTTAACGGTCATGGGTAATTTTCAATAAAGAAGATGGAAAAGAGGAATTGAGGAGGAGGCACTTGGCTGTACTGAAATTTCTGAAGGAAGCAGCCAGGCAGGACCACTAAGCCAGGGAGAAGAGGAAGTGGGCCACAGGCAGGTGAGAAAGCTGAGGGATATCCTAGCCTGATTTTATATGATTATGTTATCTGCATGACAGACCTGAAAATTGACATGGTTGAAGATAGGAAGAGAGACTAAGGTTGCTTGATGGTCATGTTTCCTTTTTCCCTATCCATGGGGTCAGCACGCTGAACAACAGATTTTTTAGAATCTGGCACAGCCATTTATTAAACAGCAACAGCGAGGCAGTGTTGGGGCGCTGCAGAGGCTGAGGGCTTCCAGGGGCTCCCCAGGGGTCTGTCAGGTCAGGTCCTAGCAGCCAGGGCCTCTCTCACCACCCCAGCCAGGAGCTGGGCAGGCTGAGGGGACGCTGGGGCAGCCCTGAGCATCAGGTGCCTCCCTGGGGATAAGGCCAGACCCAGGCCAGGCTGTGGGCCTGCAGGTGGATGGGGGCCAGAGCCAAGCCTAGTGAAAGCAACTGAGGTTGGACACAGCCCCAGGTTGGCCATGCTAAAACTTTTTTGACTGTTCCAATGGTTTTTAGGCCTTGAGGCTGGCAGTGGGGGGGGGAAGATGGGGCTACCAGCCTCCTCTGCCATCACTGCCCTGATCCAAAATGTCCCACCACACATCACTGCAAGCAGCTTGTGAGGCTGCTAGTTGACGTTATCACCTCTCACTTCATCCTTCTTCACTAGACTCCAGAAAAGCTTCTTCTGACATTTTTTCTTCCCTCCTAGGAAGGCTGCTTCTTATCCCCTGGCTTTGTTGCCAATTTCTCTTTGAACTTTATAGAGGCAGACATTTGTGAAGAGGACAAATTAAATTTTTGAGAGGGCTCAGCTAATCAAAGACAGAGAAATAGACTCATTCCTATGACCAGTGAACCTGCATCTAACTTGTGTATCGTGAGTAGCAGATTGCTATTTACAATTTGTGTTTTAGGGCTGTGAAAAAGCCAGGATTTTACAGTCACGTGCACCTTACACGTGAAGCTCAGGACCTTAGATGAGGTATACATGCTCTAGGAAAAATGTTAAGGAAATATATGAATCACTTGGAAATACAGTACTCCAGTCTAAATAAGATTTAATGTGGGATTTAAAAGAGAATCATACACTGGCCTTACACATTTTGAAGTAGAGATATGAGCCAAAATATCTGGACAAACCTTCCTTAGGTCACAGAAAAAGAAGTCTAGCTTCTATTTCCTATCAGATCAGAGATACAGACTAAAGTGAAACTCAGACTTATTTTTTCATATCAAGTGCTTTTCCAATTCAGAAATTAATGTTTTGTTTAGTTTCACTGTTTGTGTGAAAACAATCTCAGGCATAGGAGCAACCCAGCAAGTTACATGCATGGTTATTTAGTCGTATATGCTGTGACAATTGTACTCACATGGAAGAAAGAAAAATGACTACAGCTTATACTCAGGCTGGTAATCTGGCTTGTATTTTTAGCATGGTATCTCAGGCTATGCATTTCACTGTAAGAATGACAGTAGTAATAAAGCTGCCAGTTTTTGTCAATCAGCAGCTGTCTGTCTGCTCTAGTTAAATGTCTTTGCAATGACCATTCCATTTTTAGACATGCTGGGCCCAAGTTCAGCATTGACTTACATCGTGTGAAGTTTTATTGAAGTTAGTGAAAGCCATACAGGACATAAACCACCAGTGGATATGGGCATTGCTTGTCTTAACTGTGACTGAATGGAGGACACAAAGAAATGATTTTGTTTAGGCAGATCCTCTAACTTTCAAGTGGGTGAACACTCTAGTTAAAATAGGTTGTTTTCCTTCATCAAAACATGCCAATTATAAATAATAAAAAAAAAAGAATTAAAAAAGAATACCACATACTACAGCTTCAAAGATTTTCATTCAGGAATATTTTATCATGGTTTAATGTCCTATACCCTATCCCCCCCCCATTTCTGCTCTGTGAAGTGGGCCTTATCCCAACTAAATCTGCCATAATTCACCATTTTCCCCTCTCTCTTCAATTTTGAGTTTCTCATTAGAGGGTCTTCATTGGTTTCCAATCTTTCAGCAGTCATTTCTACAATATTTCCCCTAGATAATCAAGCATTATTCAATAAGGATTTTTCCTGACAACTCATATTTGTCCTGGAGCTTTGACTGGTCCTAATATGTGCACAACTATGAGAGTGACTGTCCGAGTTGCACAATATTCCGCATGGCCAAAGCTGCTCTTTGCCCTGGTACACAGAATTCTGAATTTATGTATCCCTAAAATATCTTTAGAGTGTTACCATGTGCAGTGTAGGTATTCAATGGATTGGCATGTGCATACCAATTTTGTGTGGAGAGATATCACATAGATACAATAATAGGCAACCAAATCTAGTGTGTGGCATCCTTGCCCATGGCAGGGAAGTTGGAACTAGATGATCTTTAAGCCTATCATAGAAAAGCCAAGCCTTTCTATGGTAAATATCAAGGATATCCTTCATTGTTTTAAAAATGCAGCTTTACTTTTCTTTTTATTAGTACTGTCCTGTGCTGTGTCAAACAGGAGGTATCTGAGTCACATTTGGTCTCTATTTATATAGGTACATGTTTGGCTGGAATATTTCTAGTGCAAAATTCAGACAGAAAACAAAACAAAACAAAACAGATCTTTGCCCTGATTTTCAACGTATTCATCTTTTTCTATCCCTGCTTCTGTGTTAGTCAACTGACACAACCTAATTTGCAGTACAGAATTTTGCATACACAATGGTGACTATTTTTTCTTTTGAGGCAATTCAAGTTGTCTAAGAATTTTATGAGGAGAGAACTACTGTCGTTCATGCTTTTCATTATTTACTTCTATAACTTGTTTCAAATAACATCCAACATTTATAAAATACAATGCAGGAGAAAAAGTATAAATATTGCTGAAAACTGTAACATGCTCCACTAGATGGCAGACAAACATTTGCAACCAGTGCCACAGCTCTGTAAAATGCTCCTTTGTTAGTTTTGCATGGATTCTAATAAATAGTAT